AGCACAGCGGGTTCATGAAGGAAGGTAAACATCGCCATGTCTTCGATTTTATCGAACTTTGGCGGGTTCTGGGGGTGGACGTCTGCTTCTTTCGCAGTAACAGTCTGCAAACAAACACCACGGATCAGTGTACATATATTATATGCTATGCATTTTATTGTCCCTGTCAATAATTAAAATAGCTTTAGATCAGTCAGAAGTATTTTATCTCTTAACTACCCAGTATAGTGTGTGAATTCATGTTTTACCTTCCCATACTCAGTTTCGACTGTGACTTTGTCACCATCTCGACTGACGACGGACCCCTTGACATACTCCACTTCAGGGTCCACTACGAAACACTCCTTCTTTATGTCAAAGGGGCGAGTTTGGGCCTCCAGGCGTTCCTTGTCTGATTTCCGCAGGAACGGGGCAGCGCGCCCAAACTCTTCCATTGCTGCATCTCCCATTTTGTTAGCCTTTCAATCAGGAGAGAAAATATTCCTTGTGAAGTCATATCAGAACAGAACTAATCTGAAAATCTAGCAGCTGATGGTTTTAAAAAAAAAAATAAAACCTAATTTATGATGCCTGCATACAAAATTTTTACTTCTTCTCTGTTCATTATAAATGCCAGAGAAAGCAGCTTGTACTGACAGTAAAATGGATACACTAGCTGGTGTTATACTAATTGCACAAGATGCATTCATGTACCAAAGTTTCAATTTTCTTCTATTTCAGAGCTAGTTTAAGTATTTAATATTTAAAATAATGTTTTTCAACAAAGTCCTGAAATGAACAGATTCCAGCATTTACGTACCTGGTGCAGGGATGTGCAGAAGATGTAGCTGACCTGCAAAGATGGGAGAGAAAAGAAAGAAATGTTTAAGTCTTGCAGACAGTATCTGTGATGGTTTGCAGCACCTCCCTTTGACACATCCTGGGGGCTCTTACAGGAGCCCAGGGCCCCTGCATATACTCCCTACTGCTCACCTTGAAGTGATGTGCTGACTTGAGGTGCTCCTCAGCCTGTCTCTTTATAAAGAGGCGAAGCGGCCAGATTTGGAAACGATCCAGTAGCCAGGAAGTGATGTTTCTTTTCTAATTGGTGGGGCATGGTGGTGGGTGTGTCCCCCTTTGTGTTCTTTGAGTGTATGAGAGAGGGCAGCTGAGAGGGAGGGAACAGGTGGGCAGAGGTGCTGCCCCATCTCGCTGAGAGCTCAAGATTTCTGACTGCCATAAAAGGATAGAAGGGCCAAGGGTCTCCACCCGGACTGAACAAAACAACAGCATCATATTAGTTATGAAGGCGTCTGGAATAGAATAATAATAAGGTCCTTCATCACCCCCCCCAGGCAAGAAACAACCAAGTATGTCCCGGTTACCAGGCATATGAATTATAACCCAAGGTAACAGCAGTGGGACACGGGTTAAGCAGATGCTCTATGGTTACACACTCAGTGTATTTAGAGCCTGAGAAATATGTCGGGTGTTGGCATTTATTTATAACAAACACATTAACATAAACAGCAGCATTTTTATTTGCGTGTACACATGCAAATGAAAGCGTTTCGATTAGCAACCAATAAAATATGATTAAATTAGCATTTCCGATTAGACACTTTGCCCTTGAATACTGGAAATGCTGATATACGAGGTGAACATCTCTGTTGCATGCTGGAGCCATAGATGGACATTGCAGCTAAACACACTGTGCAAGTTAGTCACAAGAATTTTTTGTTCAAGGTTAGGTCACATGACAAGGAACAAAACCAACATATACAGAATAGGAGAGCCACAAGGAAGAGTCTCCCCAGGCCACGGGGCGCAGCTGCTCTGATCAGCAAGTGCCAAGGTGCAGAGGTCACTGCGGGCCTGTTGTCACCTTCCCAGTGGCACAAGCCCTGTCCCGGGCTGCATCTCATTCTCATTGTTTCCTTGCCTTTATCCTTGAGCACAAAGATAACCCTGTGAAATTCTTTTCCTTGATTGAGGAGGACAGCTTGTAATGGCCACCGGGGTCGATTCGGGGCCCTTTGTGTTCCTTTGGAATCAGCCGCAAGGAATGATGGGATAGACTATGGCAAAGGACATCTCACAGAGTGACAGAGCCCATCACGCAATTGAGTCATTAAAATGACAGCAGAGACAGAGATACATTTGAGTGCATGTATAAAATGATTTGTGAAATCACACATATAACGCATCTACAGTTGCAAATTTGCAGCTGAACATTTTGACTGAGGTAACGAAGTAAAACTCCACAGACCATGCGTGAATCCAATAGAATTGTGCAGCATAGATGAAATTCAGAATTCTCTTTATTCCTATTATGCATCTACGCTAGAGTCTAAATCAATGACTTGTGTTACACACAAGAAAATAAATACAACAGCAGGATTTAACAATGACTCTACAAACCAGAGATTCTATGAAGCACTAATTCAAAAACACAGGACAAGATAAAAACCTGTAGAGCTGACAAGTCATGTGTCCAATGTGAGTGCATTCACTGGATGTCATTTTAATAATGTAATTAGGCACAGAATAGTTATGTCCATTTCAAATATTTTGCTCTTCAAATGGTATCCTCTCCCATAAGCCATCAGCACTTAACAGGATCAGTTTTTCACTGAGCAAATGAAGATGGTGCCTTGTAAGGAACAGTACAGAGCAGTATGGATGTAATATGTAGCATTTTCACATGGGATGATGATGATCAGCAGAGGTTTATTTCCCATCTACTGTAAATGACACATCACCTTGCCTTGCTACGCTTTGCTTCTCCTACACTCCAGGCTCTTTAATTAGCCATATCATTTGAGCAATCTATTCCAGTCCCATCTTTCATTTTAGAAAAACCCCATTCCCAGCTGTCCAGGCTCTTTGTGGTATCAATACACAAAAAAACAGCGTCAGGACAGAAGAACAATGACAGCGTCCCTGGCAGCCTGCTCTCGGTGTCAGTAATGTGACGCTTTATGGTCAAGCGTTGTCCTATAATTAGGGTAATCTTACGTCTACCATAAATGCCCTTACATCTCTAAGTGAGCGACAGCCCACTTTACTGAATCTTGAGAGGATTGTTGTTGGATAAAAACCATTCAATAAAATTCAAAAAGTATTATTGCATATTATTGCATATTGCAGTGCTCTTGTCATACATTCTTTCCAATCTTATAACCTTCATTGAAGATTATTTCCCTATAACGTGTTTTCTAGTCAGAGAGACACATTAGAAGCCATGTACATTATAAGGGGTTTACCCTTCTAAGCAGAGCAATTCAGCCTATGCTCCTATAGCCCTGTAAGTATAAAACACTGAGGCTGTCCCAGCAAACCTAATGATAGGGAAGATGGCAGAAGGGGACCCAGTCTGCCCTAGAGCACCTAATCCCAAGGGGAAATCGTGAGTGTCCAATTCATATGGACTGCATGTGAGCTAGAGAAGAAACCAGTGGAGACATGAACTCCACACACTCAAACCCTAGAGTCCCACTAAAATACAGTCTTAGGAGTATTTGTTTATTTAGTCTTGTATCATCTATACTCTATTTAAAGCCATAAAAATGCATCTTAAATAAAATGCTCACTCTGCCATCCCTGATCGCACTCAGCTCTTTCATGAAGCCATCCTGTGTAAAACACCCCCCAGTTGACGCACATGTCTTCATGTCGGGCCAAATTGACCATTCATTCCATACCATCCAAGCATTCCATTCATTCACGTTGACATGAAAAACCCAGAGCATAACGCATAGGGGAGCAGACTGTAATTGAGTTATCATGGAGAGAGCAAGAACAGTATTTGGGTAAGAAACTGCTTGAAGGTTAAAATACTGAATCAATAAACATGCACAATTCCCCCTTGAATTTCCCCTTGCCTGTGAAAGCAAGCTGATCATTCCAGTCAGGTTAAGCTGGACTGCATGAACTGAGACTTCGGTTAGCATTTGACTACTGAGTCCTGTGTCACGATTCTCTGACTCTCACATTTTACAGGCAGTAGTCACACTCCATAATCATATTCCAAAGGACCTTTGAGATCAGTTATAAGGGTTAGTTTTGAAGTCTTTAAAGAGGCTTTTGCACTAGCATGTGAAAGAACCGCAGAGAGATAAAACATAAAACCTACCACTCAATCAAGGACCTGGTTTTATTGTTGAGTTCCATTCACCTCAGAAGTCAGAAGTCAGAGCTGGCAATGATGCCAGACCAGAGTTAACTGTGTTCCACTACAACAAGTCGGAGAGCCATTTAGTAATATCAGAATACCAGGGACCTGTTTCAAAAAGCAGGATTTCTTGCTTAGCCAGACAACTTGTTGAATTTAAAGTACCCCAGTTTAAATTGCCTTTATTTTTGTTCATTTTCATTTAGCCCATACTACCTTAAATTTGACAAGTTATCCAGCTAAGCAAGATATCCTGCATTTTGAAACAGGCCCCAAATCTAGCCAGGTTCATTATTAGCCATTGTTAGCTATATCAATGCAATGCATTACACAGTATTTTGCACATACAGACACTGTAGCAACACGTCCACAGATAGCGCTTGGGCAGTACTGTATGTACAACCGATTTAATGAAACACAAATAAGACATTAAGTACTAATAAACAGTCTATAATCACAGCCATCTTGAATGCTCAGGTTGGGGTTGAAGAGGTTCCTCCAACTTTCTATTTGGAAATCCGGCTTCAGTTGAAATTTCTGACTAGGAACTTAGAATATGGCATATAAAGCGGGTCCATTTGCACTTGGTTTTCACAGAATCCTAACTTGGGGCCTGTTAATAAGATGGTTTGCTTTCGAGAAAATGAAAGTAGTGATGTCAGTTGTGATAGGGCCCCAAATCTGAACTCGGGGGTGGGATGGGGGGCTCAGAACAGGGGATAAGATTTGTTTAAAGATTTATTGTGCAAGATAGTGAGATACAAGATACAAGAGCTAACAGCTGTAGGTTGTACTGACCAATTTACTCTTGACTCAGCAGCAGGACTAGCGAGACACAGGATTTAAATAGATCATCACCAGATAGAGGTAATTGTTATTTGACTGATTGACAATGACACCCTTGCCACTCGACATGCCCTCAGCATATGGCCAGGGCAGGTAAACATAGCAGAAATTACAATTACACCAAATCCAGCTTAACAGTTTCCCCTTTTGCAAGGTTGCCTAATTAATTACACAGGTAGCTCCGGAACCATGGCACACTTATGAAAATCGGTGAATGACTGTGTTTATACAACATCTGTGTTGTTCACTTTTAAGACAAAGAAAGCAAAGGGATCAATGTGAACAGGAATTAGCTGTGACATTTCTGTTAATAAGAGAGAATTTCCCCTTATGTTGCATAAAAATGAGCTTTAAATTACATGAAGTGCTCATAATATATGCATAAAAACTAAAATAACACTTAACCATGAATTTGGGAAATAATTTCCATTCATCTTAAGCATTCACACACACACATGCACACACACGACTATTATTATCCCCAAAGGCCTTGTGGCGCATAAGTGCCAGGATGGCAAAAGAAGGTGCATTCTGGGTGTGGGAGACGACTGCAGCAGCCCTCCTGTGATGATGAACACAAGGTGACCACTGGGATCCTGCTGGATGTGCCAAGTCCTGTGATAGGCCACTTTTAATAATAGAGACATCTTGTGGGACATTGACAGGCGTCCTGTCCATTCACATCTCACTGTCAATATCAACAAGCAGTCAATGAATATGCAATGCAAACTGTATAGAGCAACATCTGCAGCAAGATAAAGACATTAGCTTATTTTATATGCCCCTGGTTTCCCCATGTCTGTACATAAACACATGGACTATACATGTATGAAGAAGAGGTATAGCCATCCATCTGACTTTTATTTTATTTCCTATTTTTAATTTTATTTATTTTTGACTGTTTTTGACTGGTATAGCGCTTTGTGTTTTTTGTCTGTGAAAAGCTCTATATAAATACAGTTTACTTTCTTATGAAAATGATCAGAAATCTACATGAATAAATTAAATTTTTGCGATTTGCTGTTACATGACGAAACAAAAATATGAAGAAAATGTGTCCAATTCCCGTTAAAAAGAAAGTGAAGTGAAGTGCTGTTTCACAGCGTTTGACAATGTTGTTTTTAGTCAAAGTGTGGAGAGACACAGCGGAGACTCCCGTATCAGCGTTAAAATGCGAATCTCACAGCTTTATTTTTGTGTTTGATGCATTTTCACTGTTTATTAAGTGTCTGGCTCCCCTTCACAGTAGCGAAACCCAGCGCGCAGACTATACTGAGATTACCGAACGCAAAAAACAGGAAAGAATGAGGGAGAAAGGAGAGGAGAAGATGCTACAAAGCCCAGGTCTTCGTGTTTGTGCACTGGGTCAGGATAGCTGTCAGGGCGATAGGAATCGCAGAGGAGAGTGTGAACCCTCGGACAAGGTGACAATGTCAACATTTTCACGGCCCCCCCTCCCCCTGGGGGCATGAGGGTTCAGCCTGCCCCTCCCAGCAAGCACCATGTTCACAGCTGCTACAGCTCCTTCCTCTACCAGTCAGTACTACGACAGGCTGTCCGTTCACAGTCTGCTCCATACAACTCCCCGCTGATCTCACTAAAGGCCAATCTTCTTATCCGCAACAATGTACTACAAAGCGTATATAGCACTAATACATTTTCAGTACAGTTGCTGTGACTTTTTTAATTGACTTTTTCTTTCAGTTGGAAGTCATATAAGTGCCAGTCTAATGTAAGCAGTTAGGAGCACAGCTATAGAACGCTGCCTCTCTTGCTCCCTCTAGTGACTCCTGCTTGGCATACACACTTGCAATTTCTTACAGAAACGGGCACGATTATGGGATGCCAGGACTCGGCCACAAAACACTGATGGAGAGCAACTGGTAATAGACTGTGAGATAAACTGACACTTGCCAGGTCTGTTTCTGATTTGAGTGTCTGTGTATTAATGAAAATTTGTGAGCAGTGTACATAGTGCTAGTGACTGTTGGTCATTTTAAGTGATTGATGGTAAATGTATAATGAGAAGGTTGGATCCTGGACTCGCTTTGTGGGACACAGTAGAAACCTTTCCTGTCTGCAGCTGTGTGACGCGGTGCTCTCTATGTGAGAAGCCTTGCCTAATTTGTAGGCATCACTGCAAGAGTTCGAAATGTCACAAGATCTCTCTTTGGCATGGAAAGCATCTATCCAATGTGTCAATTGCGTGTGAGAGAGTCTCCTGGGATGTTTTTAGCATGTGTGTGTGCATGTGCATGTGCCCGATACTGCTGTCTGTGTGACCGTGTGATTCAGGTTGGTTGATAAGGTTAATACATAATGAAATATCGGGATGATGTTGTCTTCCTTTCAGGAAAACTGAAAATTACAGAATACATTCCTGTATTAACTGTGCGAGAGCCTAACAAGATCACAAAAATGCACCATCTTCAGACTTTTTTGACAAGTGAAGTGCTGTTACACGGGTGACAAGCAGGAGGCGCTGTTCAGGTTTACCATCTTACATGACTTGGCTTTTCTTTGAGGGACTGTTGACGTCTTTCATGAGAGATCCATGTCTCATGATGCTGGGTATGTGTGCTGCCCTTTATTCTAGCAGATTTTTACCTCAAGTGATGTATAAATTATGTGTATGATAAATGATCATTTAAAAGCAGATTTCGAATGACAGATTTCAAGAATCAAATGCTGCCATGTAGCAGTAAATGATGTATACATCATGTGTATGATAAATGATCATTTAAAAGCTAATTTCAAGAATACTGCCCTGCAGTAGTAAGTAAACTTTTATTTAAATGAGTAAACGGTTAAATATACATCACATTTACATTATATAAATTAAAGAATGGAAATCCATCATATCCACCTGTTTGTGTATTTCTCTCCCTGTTGCAGCATTACCACCTCAGCACCCTCTAAGTGTCTGAGACATGTGTCCTGGTCCACACAGTCCTGACAGGCGAGTTCAGTGTCACACCTGGAAATAGCTGAAGTACTGGATAAAATTCATAAACAAAAGACCTAAAACCTGCTCAGGAAAGAATAGAAGGTGGCATATGAGCCCCAGGAACCCAAAACACCTTCAGCAGTCCTGGGTGCATCACTGCGAGAGGCATATATCACATAAATGAAAATAACAGCGGTGTCAGTGTACATACAGAAGCTGCTTCCCAGCATATCAAGCTGAGTCGGTGGCGTGAGGCTCTGGCAGTTCACTGCAGCAGTTTGTCCTCCTTCCAGTTCATGCTGATGCTGTAAATCCTTGGCAATGTGTCCAAAGAAAGACAAAGCGTTGTACTTAAGATTTTTATGTGTTTTATTCATAATAATGGTGTTAATGGATTTGTGAAGTATCTAGTAACTCTAAGGGAGAGTCTACATACTGTCTACTGTATGATCATTATTACAGTCTTGTAGTTTGCCAAATAGGAATCAAGCAACTTGTTGATTAATCATATGTGCCATGTTGTGTCATGAAGCTACCATATTGTGTTATAAGAACTGTAACTTTGTTTCTGGTTAGTTCACTACAAAATCACACCCTAATATCAGATTTACGTAATCTTTAGCTACACCACAGAGGGGAGACTGTCACTCCCCAAAAAGAACCCAAACTTAGGCCAAGGTCACTTAGTAGTTTATGAAATCTTCTCCCTTAGCTCCATCTTGTTCTCTTTGCATTGTTTCCTCCTCTGTGCCCTTGAGCACAAAGATAACCCTGTGAAATTCCTGCCGGGTGCCTCTGCCTGATTGAGGAGTACATGCTGTAAGGGACACTGAGGTCTATCTTGACTGCTGTTGTTACGTTTTTTGAGGACAGGCTGTGACAGATGATCCTCTAAAGGTCTTTCCACCATACATAATGGCATCCAGCCAGCAGAGTTTTGGCACCTTAACCATTTTAGATAACTTGTGTCACAGGAACTCCTGTGGAGCAGAGTGTGATCGACATTGGGTCGCCATAGTTTTAATGGCCGACTTTCTCCACTTTTGTTTCAATGACCCATATGCATAAAAATGGAATTCATGTCAATGAATTCATATTCTATTTTTAAGTAACTTTACTGATTTAATTCAGAAACCAGTTAGTCTAAAACTTAGAGGTACGATCCTGGCACTAGGCTGTGCGGCTCGTAGAGTCCCTGAGCAAACAATGGCCATGGGACTGCTTTTCGTTTAACAGAAGGATCAGAAATGTGTGAATTTGTTGACAGTTTTAGTAAACCTCCACACTGAGTGGGCACATTCCTGTGTTGTCTTCATAGGAATGAGCTATTGATTGAGCTGTACCCTACATTCAGCCCAGCGATTCTCAACCCGTTTGGGTTGCAGCAAGTTCTGAAAGGGTCGTAAGTCAGGCTTGGAAATGTAATTTACCTATATAAACGGGTCTTGTGTCTGCAACTGCTTAGTGTAAAACTAGTGAAAACTCAACCAATCCAAGAAGCCGAACCACAGATGTTTAATTAAGAATTCACTGACACATCCAATCAGATTTGTGTGATGTGCATTGATTTGCATATATTGCAGAGTGCTTGATCATAGCGTTAATTTAGACCTATACTTGATATAGGGTCACGACTGAGCTTGCATGGTAAAAACTGGCCCGCGGTGCCAAAAGGTTGAGAACCACTGGTTTAGCCTTTCCTGACATTTCTGGATTATTGTAAAGATATTTTTTACAGAGGTTTGTATGCATCGATAATAATCCTTTCTAAACTTTAAGTAATATTTCAGACAAAGGGTAGTTGGAATCATTTCTTTCTTTGAACATCTAGCTTTTCGAACTTCATTACTTAGGTTAATTTGACAGAGAGCCAGCATTCAGACCTTGGACAGGCACCAGGCTTGACGGGAGATGTCGGCATCTGAAGTGCCATTGAGGACCCCATTCCTGCCTCCACAATTGTTCTTTAAACAGCTCCATGCTCAGCTGTTTGCAGAGAGACGACAGACCAGATAGCCTGTCAGAGGCTACAAGCCGCCTCTGTCCGTCTTCCTCAAGCTCTATTATTAGAGTCCTTGTGTGTCTTTCTAGGTGGCAAAGACACATGTGATTGTTCTCCTCCCATGTTGCCTCGGTTCACTCCCTACACCTTTCACAATGCAGACCAAATGCGTCATGAGCAGGCACGCCGAAAGGGCAGACCTGCTCCAATACCCAAGGGGTTTGTCCTGCCATTTTTTTAGTTACTTCAGGAATGTAGGTTCACATTTTAACTTGGTACCTGATCCAGCTTTCAAAGGTTAGAAACAATGGGCAAGTTCTTTTTTGACTTTCCCCACATTTTTCTAGACGTCCACATTTTGTAATTTTTCATTTGTTAGTTAGATTTCCACAGCACATTGTGTGTGGTACATTGTATTCCCTCACAGAAATGCCTCAGATACTCAATTCTTGTCATGTTATTTGTCATAATTGTTAGCAGTTAAATATATAATGATCAGTTTAAATGCAACTTAATGCAATTTCCTTGCAGACATGGTAATTGGGTTTTGCAGGGCAGTTTGAATTAAACGGTCTCAAGACTAAAATTCTAGTCACCTGTCTTGACCAAAAGGAAGCAATATCTTGAAGTGGTGATTTGCAAACCAATTCTGAGATTTTTTTTCTTGATGTATTAATGTGTGATCACAACACAATGCAGCCTACAGCTTTGCTCTTGAACTGATTGTTCAGGGGAAGCAGACATCAATCCTGGCTGCGAAAGGACAAGCGGGCCTTCTTTGCAGAGGACCTTGGATGAGCTGCCTTGTAATGTGAGATGCCGTCTGTCGGTGTGAAGTTTTAAGGGGGAGATTAGTGCCTGGTATTTGGCTCTCTAGCCCCTCCCAGTGACTCCTGCTGGCATACACAGACACAGTTTCATCCAGCAAGAGACCAAGGGAACGTAAGTCTGAGTCAGTCTGAGGGACAGAGCTCAGTCCTGAAGTTCTGCTGAAGGAGAAGCATGGAGGTAAAGACTTGGCACATGCTCTCTGTCAGCACACATGATGCATGTATTAGTATCTTGAAAGTGGAGCATGTGTTAGTACCGTAAATATGGAGCATGTGTTACTACCGTGAAAGCGGAGCACGTATTAGTTCTGTAATAGCAAAGTATGTGTTACTACCGTGAAAGCGGAGCATGTATTAGTTCTGTGAATGCGGAGCATGTATTAGTTCTGTGATAGCAAAGTATGTGTTACTACCGTGAAAGTGGAGCATGTATTAGTACTGTGAAAGCGGAGCATGTATTAGTTCTGTGATAGCAAAGCATGTGTTACTACCGTGAAAGTGGAGTATGTATTAGTACTGAGAAAGTGGAGCATGTATTAGTACTGTGAAAGCGGAGCATGTATTTGTACTGTGAAAGCAGAGCATGTATTAGTACAGTGAAACCAAAGCATAGATGAAGCCAAATCATTCAACAATATCAAATTGTACCATGACTTGTAAAAGCAAAAGCATGTTGAAATATTGTATTCAGTATTTCTTTTGTGCTGTACATAGAGATATAACAGATATAACAAAAAATAACCATAATTCATTCCAGCATTGTATAAAGTCTAATATAGTTGTGTAAGTGCTCCTTAACCAAATAACCATAATGTGATGCATTGTACAATAATGCTTCAATAATTTTTAAAGTTACAATGATCAAATATTGACATTATATATAAAGTAATACTGGCATGATTTCTACGTACAGTATGTTCTCCTAAAATTTAATAGTTGCATTCCTGAAAAAAAACTCAAATTAAGCAAATTTTCGCTATAGAAACAACAGGGATTATGGGGTTGGGGCAAAATACTAAAAAACTTCATAACACACACTAAAAAGCACAAACACATACATTAACTGACTAGCTTTTTTGAACCAGGATGCTTAAATATTATCAAACTAACAAATGTTGAAGAATATCTAAACAAAACACTTGTAAGACATCGTGATCTGATTCAGTAACTGATTCGGTACCAATTCGCTGGGTGGTGTTTTCTGTATTCACCAGCAAAATCATTTTAATTAGCAGGGGCCTGTATCACAAAGCTGGATTTTTGGGTTAGCAAGATAGCTTGTCAGATTTAAGGTAGTCTGGACTAAATGCAAGTGAACGAAGATGAAGTCCATTTAAATCTTAAATCTGCCAAGTTATCCAGCCAAGCAAGAAATCTGGCTTTGTGATACAGGCCCCTGGTGTTTTTTCGCAGAGAAATTGTGCATAAACCAATGTGAACATCGCGCTATTCTGTAATTGTTCCCTATCGATTGCCTTGGAGCAAATTCAAATTTTCAAAACACTCGTTTTTGAAGTAATATTGTTACGTGTAATTAAAGTATCACATATTTTACAGTCATCAGTTTGTTTGTGTGTAGCCTTGCCAGAAAACAGTAATTGTTCCAACGAAGCAGAAATTTAAATGTATTTTTTAAATGGTGTTTAAATTGTCCATCCATCCATCCATTTTCTGAAACCACTTGTCCTGTTCAGAGTCTTGAGGGGTTCGGAGCCTATCCCGGAGGCTGCAGGCATAAGGTAAGGAGCATCCCAGGATCCCAACCCATCGCAGGACACACTCACACATCATTCACGAACACCTACGGCAATTTGGTGACTCCAAATTTCATGTTTTCTGATGGTGGGGGGAGGCTAGAGTACCTGAAGGAAACCCCACAGTGACATGGGGAGAACATGCAAACTCCACACACATGAAGACACAACGGAGACTCAATCCCTGGTTTAACTGTGCCACCCTGTGTTTTAACTGTGGTGAAACTAAATGATTGAACATTACAGCTGCTCATACCTTGTTATTAATATATTTTTGGGGAGGGTGTTGTTTGTTTGTTTTGTTTATAACCACATTTCAAAGTATTTATAACTTAATAAATACAGCATTTAACAGCACTGTTACACTACTGGTATAGCGTGTGCTGTGCAGTGCCTCAGAGCGGTACAAGAATGCACTCTAGTGGTAAAAAGAGTAAAAGCAGGCGTGTGTTGTAGCAACTGTTAACTGAAGCTAAAATTTGAAAATAAGTTTTTCCTTTGAATCGGCAAACAAATCTGAGAAACTGTTTTATACTCTTCCGAGGTACTGTAATTAATTAGAAATATGAGCTTTTGCCAGCATAATCGTTTTTAGACATTCACAGAATTTTTTATGGATCGGATTCATAAAACAGCAGCTTGGTAAGTTTTTGTGAGTATTAATGAATTACAATGACTAAAATAGTTTTGAAGTACATTCCAACACTGTTCTTGTACATTCCTGGTCATGTGCTGATTTCATAATCGGTGCTTTTTTGATTGAGCGAATAGCGTACTGTGTTATAGTAAGAAATTAAATGCATTATTCATGACACTCACAGCAGGCAGAAACTAATTTCCCGCCAGTGCTTCCAGACAACTAAAGGCAAATTTAAGTGGGACACACAAGACACACGTGTGAATGAAGGTGTTCTTTAGGCATCTATTTACAGGTGGAAAAATGTCTGACACCTGCTCAAGTGACTGTGATTCGAAGGCAGAGAGGTGTGGCAGCCGAAACGAGCTCACACTTAGGAAAACAGCACAAGCGGCACTGCATTCATGTTGCAAGGAGACTTTATTCTACCATGTCAGAGGGACAGTGAGGTTCCTGTCTAAATTACAGCAGACAGGAGGGTTCAGAGAGGCCAAGTCCTCCTCAGAGCATCACTCTTCATCATGTCCTTTCTGAGATGGATAGAAATAATGAAAAGGAAAATTTAAAAATGATTACCTGGATTGCAGAACAAAGGACTACTTCACATGCCGTGATTAGCTGGTTCCCAGAGTTAATGAGCTAGTATTAAGTTAAACCCCCCATGGGAAGTGCAATCTATGAAGGGGCTGGACTCATAAAATCAAGTAAAGTAGCCCAGCTGAAAATCCTGCTTTAAATTCAATATGGTATGATAAGTAGAAAATATGAATAGTTGTACAGATGTTATTTTTGTTTATCTTTTAGTAATATATTAATTTCCAGCTAGTTTCTAGCTGTTGAATGTCATAATTACCTGATAAATGGAACCTCATGAAAGGAAGCTAAACTTCCCAATACCCACCCAAGGATGCAGGTATCATTTGACAGGTATTGGTAGGAAACCCACCTTTGACACATCCCGGCTTTTGGCTCGCAGCTTGTTGACCTGAGACTCCGCGATGTCGGCTCTCTCCTCAGCCTCATCCAGCTCATGTTGAAGCTTCCGGAACTTGCCCAGATTAGTGTTGGCTTGCTCCTCCTAAACCAAACACACACAGAGGGCAATCAGTTAAAAACTGGCTTGATGACACATTTGTGTGCTGGAGTCATGTGTTTAACAA